AGGAACACCGAGGAAGCCGCTACCAACAACCTTATTTCCTCAGCCAAGGGAGCCAGTAACAAAGGAGCAAGCAGTCGCAGTCTCCCGTGGGACAGACGGGGCTGGTGACGATGGTAGTGGTGATGAGGATAATGACCACGAATATCATTCGTTCAGTGACATCTACTGTGCCTCCACTAGATTCCAGGCACTATTTTAGGTTCTATGAATACAGCTATGCTCAAAATAGACAAAAATCCCTGCCATCAGGGAGTTTACATTTTAGTGAGGAAAGGGATCCTATGGCAAATACCCCAGAGATTTCTCCTGTCAAACAGGAGAGAGGCTGAGAGTGCCGAGGAGAGGGAGGTTTGCAAAGTCCAGTAAGGTGATCCGGGAAGGGCTTCCTGAGAAGAGAGGATTGTGTAAAAAACTTAAGTCAGTTATCGTTATTCCTAAAATATGGGACTTGTTTTAACTAGAAAATCAGTGTCTGACTTCAGAGATTAGTTGGTCCAACCGCTCTGTTTTGCAGATGAGAAAACTGAGGTAAGACAGGATGCTGATGAGAAGGTGCCTTTCCCACAGTCACTTGAATGGGTAGCAGAGTCCGGAACTGGGCGTTTTGGGTTCCAGGCATGGCTAGTGCCCCATCTCCATGCTGCAAGGGCAGAGAAGCCCCGACTTCCCACGGCGCGCACTCTGCTAGCAGGTGCAGTAAATAAAAGGCTCCATCTCAGAGAGAGATCATGAGAGACACCATAAAATGTTTATGAGCTGGGCTGGGGGTCAGCACGCCTTCCTCTGTGCAGCACTCCCAAACAAGTGGCCATAAAAGCTTTATGGTGACTGGACACTGAATGGCCTGCCTCGACCACTGTGTCTTCTCAGCCACTCAGGCCTCTGCCTCCTCGCCATTGCAGCACGTTGCTAAAGATAACTACGGCCAGAACAGGGCTTCTGGAGAGAAAGCCCCGGGTTGTGAGGCATTCATGCCCCCTACATCCAGCTGCCTGCTAGGGGACACGCTGGGACTCAGGGGCAGGTCTATAGGCTGGACTCCACAGTAAAGAGGGCCCAGGTCATAATCGGGGTGCAGGTGGTCAGACCCCACCTCCAGGAGGATGGCTTTCCCAGAGGTGGAAATGTCCAGGCACACATGCGGCTACTAGCCCTGAGCATGGGAGAGGGCGCCACTGACTCACAGGTCAGAAGGCAGCCCCATTTGGACAGCCTGTACGTATGGGGAGGAGTACATATGTACATATATGGAGGAGTCCCCCCTCTCTGCTTTGGAAACCGCACTCACAGCACTCCTAGTACTGAATGAGCTGGTGGAGGAGCCAGGATCCCTGGGCTTTCTTCCCCCTCCAGGCCGCCCAGTGTGTGTATTGACCGGATGTGAGTGACTAGCCTGGAGCACCAGCCATGCATCACACCTGCCCATCCCCCAGAAGCAAGGGTGGAGGGGAGCAAGGAGCCTGCCTTGTTGGGAGGTCATCTGGTCATCTGCCTCCCAACAGCCCTCTGGGAGCACGGGGCCAGCACACCTGCATGTCTAACTCCCAGGATGGATGTTGGCTACTTCTTCTTCAGTGGCCTCTCCGAGCTATTGATGTTATTCAGAAGACCAGAAGGAATGACAGCCCCTTGGCTCAGCCTCCTCTGTCTCCTTCACCCCATCTATTGTTTGAAAGCATGTGTGTCCTCTAACTCTCAGCTCAAATTCCACTCCTCCATGAAGCTGCAGTCACCCCCCCGGATGACATCGCCCTCTGCTTGGGCTCAGCATCTGCATATCCAGGCGGTCCTTGTCCAGTCATCTTTGGGGAAGTATCTTGCCTTCCCTAGTAAATGAGAAGCTCCCCGAGGCTCTCTCTGTAGCTGAAGTGTGTTTCTACTTTCCCCAGCCCACACGGAGCATAATGCCTTCACAGAGCAGCATTTCATAAATATTAGATGAATTAGTTAATTAATGAATTAACCTGCCTTAGTAACTTGCTCCATTATCTAAATTCCTCCTTACTGAGAGAGACAGTCTTCTCCTTGCCTGAACTAAACCTTCTCGCCTGATTTCACTGTCTCTATCCACTGGCTGTGGCCTCAATGGAAACGTGGTGTTCTGGCTGTCTCCACCCGGGCTTGGCCCTCCAGACTCCACAGCCCCTTAGCTTTCTCTCGGCTCTGCAGAACCTTGAACCACCTTGCTTTGCCCACACATCCTGTTCTCCAGCCCCTCGTCACTGCCTCCACCCTCCCCTTGCTCATGTTCAAGCGTACACAGAGCTCTCAAATCACAGCAGCTTGTTTGGTGCTGTGACAGCAAGGGCCTGGCCCCTAGGAGGGACCAAGGGACCAAGGTTCCAGAACCCCAAAGCATCTCGAGGAGCAGCACAGAGCTCCCTCTTATTCTGGCTGAGCCCCCAACCTGTGCTTGCCGCACCCTCTGCCCCCTCGCAGGTAAACTTCTGAGGTCACCCTAGGAAATGATATTCAGACACATGTTCGTTCGTTTCCTCACCCGACAAGCATTCATTGGGCACCTGCCATTTGCTGGATGAATAAGTCCTAGTTATGTAAGCACTTACACAGGGAGTTACCCCAGGGAGGGGTAATGCGGTTACCCTGACGGCCATGCGATGCGTGCCCTAATCCAGGTGTGGACCGAAGTCTGCAGGGCTGTGTGGAAGGAAGGTGGGCTTCACAGAAGAGGCAGCATTTGAGCAGATCTGAAAGGATATAGGGGAGTTTCCCAGGGGAGTTTCCCAGGAGGCCTTTGTGGGCAGGAGGACTTGGCCAGAACTGGTCCTTCTAGGCCTAAGGAAACAAACTGGGCAGCACATCTGGGTCTCCGCTACAGTCCATCAGAAAGCCCAAGAGAACTGGGAGGCGCAGATCTGACCTAGGCACACACACAAACTAGGAGGGCGCTCAGCAGAGGCCCAACAAGAGAAATCTCGGGGAGGTCTCAGGAATGGGCATTGGGCCATTGCTAGAGTCAGGGCCCAAGAGAAATCTATCTGAAGATGTCTAAGGCCCAATAAACCACTCAGAACACTGGGGGCAGAGTCCTAATCCAGGAAAAGAGGCAGCCAGAGACTGGGATGAGGTGGTCCGGGCCATGACCAGAACCCCAGAAAAGTTGGCTGGGATTTAGGTTCCAGGTGGATCTGGAATAAGGTGGATCAAAGCCAGCTGGTAGGTGAGGAGCCCATGTACTGCGGGATGAGAAGGACAGACGCCCAGTGGTGTTCGCCCAGGATCCAAAGGGCTGCCTGGGTTTTTCTATGGCCACACCTGGCTGCTCCCTGCAGGCAGCTCCCTTCTGAGCCCTGAACGTGCAGGGGTACCCTGAGGGCGGAGGGCCATGCATCTGATGCCATCCATCCTTCCCCCCAGAGCCCATCCCCCACTGTGGCCACTCTGGATGGGCCCAGGGTGGAGAGTAGCAGGCTTCTAGGGAGGGGTGGGGCTGGTGCCTGGGAGAAGGCTAGAGGACTGTGCGGCCTTGTCATTTAATTATTCGACTGCAGAAAGGAGATCTCATCTATTGGGTGCTCATCCTTGTTAAGCTAATTGTCTATCTCCTTCACTCTCTTCTCCCCCACTTGCTGGGGAAGTCGCTGCAGCCTAATTGAGTTATCATAAAGATAATGGCTGATGCTCTAGCCAGAGCCGAGAAAGGAGGATCCATCTCACATCGACTCAGGCTCCAGACAGGCCCCCAAGGGGCTGAGACGTAGGCAGTGTTGGCAGGGGGGTGCGGGCTGCATTTCTAGCAGGAGGAAGGCTGGGTGGATGGTGTTTGCCCAGAAGCATCTAACCAACTGGTTGTCCTGCAGAAGACAGGGCTTCCTCTCTGCTCTTTCCTGCCACCCAAGGAAGCTCACCTACAAGACAAAAAGATCTCTGGACCTGGTGTGGTGGCTCTTGCCTGTCAACCCAGCACTTTAGGATGTTGAGGTGGGAGGATCACTTGAGACCAGAAGTTTGAGGCCAGCCTGGCCAACATAATGACACCTGTCTCTTAAAAAAATAAAAATAAAAATTAGCCAGACACGATGTGTACCTGCATTCCCAGCTACCTGAGAGGCTGAGATGGGAGGATCACTCGAGCCCAGGAGGTTGAGGCTGCAGTCAGCCGTGTTCATGCCACTGTACTCCCGCCTGGGTGACAGAGCAAGACCTTGTCTCAAAAAAAAAAAAAAAAAAAAAAAGTGATCCCTTACCTCTTGTCTGGGCATGTCTGGGGCTTTCTCAGAGAGGCAACCAAGCCACATGGTGATGAGACGTGGACTTGGAGAGCAGACCAGGTTTTAAATTCCATGGGCATATCTTATGACCAGGGCAACCTAGGGCAATTTCTTTTCTGCTCTGAACCTGAGTTTTCTCATCTGTAAAATGGGGACATTATTGGTAGGAGGATCCAGTGAGATCATATATATAAAGCAACTGCACAGTGATATGAGCTTCCACTTGCCTGTCCTAACACTTGATGACAATAGAGAGGGGTGAGGTGGCTGAGGACCCTGTGGGAGACGCAGAGTTCAGTGCTCTGGTTTCAGATGAGCAGCCGTAGGACATGCATGGGGGACAGTCCCAGCACTGTGCTTCCTCTCTTGCCACCGGGCACCTCGCCTGTATCCCAGGCCCTCAGAGAGCTATGAGCTGCATCACTGGGATGAGAAGGTGGGTACAGGAGTGCCAAGGAGCAGCAGGGAAGCTGGAGAGAAAGGTGAGCAGAGGTCAGCAGGCATGAATCAAATTCCAGGACACATGGGAAGGTCAAAGTGAATTCAGGCCAGCCAAGGTCCTGAACAGAGACAGTGGATCCCAGCCTGGGCGGGCAGAGGGACAGGAGCCAGGCCCCATTAGGAGACCCTGCATGGATAGGAGAACGAGGCCCCAGCTCCCCAGGGTATCTCTGTTCAAGGCCCAACCCAGAGCCCCAGGTAAGGCAGCATTGCCGGCCAGGCGAGGGCGCACAGGGTCCCGACAGCAGCACCCCCTTGCCTTCCCAGTGCCCCCTCTGATCCAGCCCTTCGAGTTCCCACCCGCTTCCATCGGCCAGTTGCTCTACATTCCCTGTGTGGTGTCCTCGGGGGACATGCCCATCCGCATCACCTGGAGGAAGGACGGCCAGGTGATCATCTCAGGCTCGGGCGTGACCATCGAGAGCAAGGAATTCATGAGCTCCCTGCAGATCTCTAGCGTCTCCCTCAAGCACAACGGCAACTACACATGCATCGCCAGCAATGCAGCGGCCACCGTGAGCCGGGAGCGCCAGCTCATCGTGCGCGGTGAGCAGGGACAGGCCAGCCTCGGGGGAGGGAGGAGCCAGCTCTGCCTGCTGCTACTGCAGTCTCTAGATTTCCAGTTCCAATCACAGGCTTATGGAAGGTGGGCTCCAGCAGCGCCCTTCAAGATGATCTTGGAGCCTAAACCTCTTTATTTTCCAGGGCAGGAAACCGAAGCCCTGAGCAGAGAGACACTTGCTCAGTCAGTCAGTGGTAAAGGCAGGATCAGAACTCAGAACTCCCAACTCCCTACCCAGTACTCAACAAAAGCTCTCAGCATCTTGGGTTTCAGAAGCTGCCTGCTTCCAACTTTATAATGGCCCAGGCAGGGCTGACCTCAAACAGAAGGTGCTCCAAGCCCTAGGAGACCCATCAGAGACTGAAATGGTCTGTTTCCCTGCCTTCCCTCTTTCTGCAGTGCCCCCTCGATTTGTGGTGCAACCCAACAACCAGGACGGCATCTATGGCAAAGCTGGTGTGCTCAACTGCTCGGTGGACGGCTACCCCCCGCCCAAGGTCATGTGGAAGCATGCCAAGGGTAAGCCCCTGGCCCAGCCAGAATCTCCAAGAAGGGCAGGGATGGGGAAAGGAGGATGCTCTGATGGGATTTGAACCTGTTCCCTGTAGGCAACTCCTAGCCCTGGGTGGGAGTCCTTGGGTCTGCACCCCAGCGGACCCCAGGCTACACCTTACCTGGAGTCATCCTCAGCCACCCCCGGGGGTCTGTGGACCAGGAACAACCATCATACTGACCCCCTATTTCCTCTTGTCCCCCCAGATGTGACCTCTCCTCTCCTGCCTCCGCCCCAGAACTCAGTGTACACCTGCTTTCCCTACCCCACCCTGCCCTGGGGCCCCAGACCTGAAAGCCCCCTGCTTCTCACCAGTCAAGCTTTTCTGGGGTCAGGGTCCTTCTTGGAGCCCAATTTCATCCCAAGGATGCCTTTGCTTTCTGACTAAGGCCCAATCCTAAACTGTATTCGTGACTGACACTGGGGAATGGAGGGGCAGGAGGTGCCCACAAGGCCCCCTTGGAGGATGCTGGCCTCTCTCCCAGGCCTGGTTGCCTAAGACCAGACGACTGCCATTCGAAGACTCAGTCTTCTCTCCACCTGCAGCCAGCTGGCCCAAAGACAGCTCCTTCTTCCTCTCCGAGGAATTCACCCCAAAGAAGCTCCATGCCAGTGTCAAAGTGGGCATTGAGCTGAGACTCCCAACCCAGTCTCCTTGAATCAGAGCTGGGGCAAGGCCCGTCTTCTGGGAGGGGGGGTCCTTCCTGTTGTCTGCTGGGAGCTGTGTGGCCTCAGCACTTTGGGGATGGTGCAGCTCTGCTACGAAACAGCCCTCGATCTGCAAGAGCGAGGTGTCAGGGCCATTCCTGGGGCACTCTCAGCTTATGCCCCAGTACACACCTAGCCCTCCTAACAGCTGCCTCCTTCCAGGGAGCGGGAACCCCCAGCAGTACCACCCTGTGCCCCTCACTGGCCGCATCCAGATCCTGCCCAACAGCTCGCTGCTGATCCGCCACGTCCTAGAAGAGGACATTGGCTACTACCTCTGCCAGGCCAGCAACGGCGTAGGCACCGACATCAGCAAGTCCATGTTCCTCACAGTCAAGAGTGAGTCCTGCCCCCGCACAGACCCCCAGCACCCCCAAATCACAGCCAAGCCCCGGCTCTGCGCTCTCCCTGCCTACTCTCTTGGTCTCCACTGTTTTATCTACAAAGGGGAGGAAGGAAGGCTTCCCAGTCAGCTGGGGGCTTGGGACCCTCAGATGGGGCATTCGAAAGCACTGTCATCTAAAACAGGGACCTCACCCTGAAAGGCCCCAACTCACCCCTACCCTGGTCATAATAAGCTCGTGATTTGCTCTGCTGCAATATCATGTGACATCCTGTTTACTTTGGTCTGTAGATTGGCGATTCAATCTGAATAATCCTAGCAAACCATTTATTTTTGCTAGTTGATATACACTTGCTTGTGTACAACCTGTTTGTGGCTTAGAAAGGAAAATAGCATATACTCAATGTAGAAGAAGGGCCTATGGGTCAGAAAACCTGGGTTCCAATTCCAGATCAGCCTAATGAGCTGAGTGACCTTGGGAGAGTCACTTCCCCTCTCTGTGTTCCAGTTTCCTCACCTGTTCGAGGGTTCTCTTCCCAGCCCACTGATCTCACAAAATTGCTGTGAGTTCTGCAGGAACTGATCATGGAAAGAGGAAGCTGCTTTGGAAAAGCCCAAGGACAAATGCAGCTCATTACAACTCGGTGCTGTACCCACGGCTTCTAAATCCCCCCACCCAGAGCAGGCCTCAACGGCCTTAGAAGTACACTGCTTATTTGCCGTCCCAGGATGTTCTTAAGTCTCGTACAGACATCCCTACTGGGTGAGCTTCTTGCTTTACACTGCGGGGGTCTGCATAATGGGTCCCTGGGAATCACATCAGAAAGGCCATGTCCATCTGGCCCCATGTCAAGACATGGCTATAAGGGCCTGAGTGTTAGTGTCTGACCCGGCCAAGTATGAATCTGGGAGCCAGGACTTAATGCCTTGGGACCTTGATGAGCGTACTTGGCCTTGTGCTACTTCATTTTCCTGATCTACACCATGGGCAGGGGGCGGGGCTCGTAATAGGGCCTCACCTGTTACGTTTCATGTCAAGGGCGAGTCAGATGGTGTAAGTGAAGCAACCGGTATGGTAAGTGGCCGGCAAAGATTTCATGGCTTGGCCAGCTTTGTTATCTGTAGCGGCAGTCCCTCCAGGGTGCGGGTGGGAAAGCCGGCTGACGGCACAGGCCCGCGTGTGGTCTGCCCAGCCTCTCCCCAGAGTGCCCGCCTTTAAGAATCATAGCTTCTTTATCACTTGCCAAAGCCCGCGTTCAGCTCAGCACAAGACAGGGAAGCCCCAGCGATCGATGCTCAGGGAGCTCCGAGCCGGAATCCCCGCCCTGGGGAGCCGCTTCCCTCACACTATCAAAAAGCACTTTGTCCTTAATAAAACCAGGCAATCAATCTACATCCCTCAGCTTGGGAGAGCTTGGCTAATTCTGGCTGCGCGAGGCGGGGGAAGAGCAGGCACCTCTGCAACCCTCCTCATCTCCCAAACTCATAATGCTTTTTCGCTGTAGTTGTTCTTTGCCTTTTCCTTCAAGTTGGGGGATTCCACTGAGCTGCCAGCTCTGTGGCAGGTGGAGACGCAGGGGTCGCGGGTGCCGGAGGACACAGTGGTCAGGAGCTGGGCTGTGTGTGAGGAGACCCCGCGTGCCTCAGGCGGTCGCTGATGCCCTGTGCCCCCGAGCGAACCACCTCCCCTGGCGGGCCTGCACTTTTCCTATGCCATCCTCACTTTGCAACCCAGCAGCAGCTGCAAAGTGCTCTGAGAAGTTCAGAAGGAGCACATTTGGTAAATCCAGGGCCACCTCCTGAACACATGCTGCACAAAACCTCATGCACCAGACACGCGCTGGGGCTCACCTATGGGGCCCCATCTTCCCAAGGGAATGGCAGGAGTTTCCTACTATGCCAGTCACTGCCGGGCAGAACCTGGACCTGGCTTCCTCCTTCCTTTCCTCCCCCATGTCCTCATCTGCAGGCCTTGGTGGGCTCCTTCACTTCTCTCCCGGTAGGGCCGACGACACGCCTTTCTTACAGCTGCTGTCTCTCCACATCTAGGGGTCATGTCATCCCACTCAGGCACCTCCAATCACCCGCAACAGCTCTCAGCACCCACTCATGGCTCCTGCGTGGCCCTCAGATGGGCTGCTCTCCAGCCTCACCACGCACACATTCCCTCTGATACATCCTCCATTTCTCACACCCTTCCTGTCACAAATGACCCTTCCCATTCTGGCCCCACTCTCCCCAGTGACCTGCCCCAGCCATCCTAGAGGCCCTCATGCCACCCAGAAGGGGAGGGGCACCCAGGAGGGGAAGAGGCAGGGCCGAGGACATTGGAGGCTGCAGGGCAGCGGTCAGGGAGGCTGCCAGGGTCAGGGCCCCTGTCTGGGGTTGGAGGGGCTGACTGTCTTTGTGTAGCAGCCTGCATGATTCTGCGCTGTATCTGGCTGCCAGAGGACGCTCCTATGACAATGCAACGCTGTCGGGGGGTGGAAGTGGGCACTGGGTGGACCGCTGGCGTGCCTGGCCTTCTTTGGAACACTTGTTCTGCCCCCTGCTGCTTTGAGGCAGGTGCCTGTTCCAAGTAACCCGCCCCAGCTACTGCCCTGCACAGCCTCTCTCCTTGCCTGCTCTTTTCTTTCCCTCCTTTCCTTTTCCTCAACCTGATAGCAATTCTCCCACTCCCCCATTCTGATTTCAGTTTAAAGGACACAGGTAGGTAGAACTTTCAGGACCCGGTCACCCATGCCCTCAGCAGGCGAAACCACTCCTCGTCATCCCTCTGTCCATCTCAAACGCCCATACCATCGCCCACTTGCAGGGCCAGCCACAGAAAGATCTACCATTTGCAACGCCAATTTCAAGGTTTGCCTCAATGCCCCTAACACACTCGGGAAAGTTTTGACCCAAAATAACTTTACCGTTCCAGACCTCACACTTTTATGAACTCTTGGAAAGCAAACTGATCTTAATCCCCACTTTGCCCAAGCAGAAGGTAGAAAATAAATCTATCAAAGGGACCATAACAGCAGAGAAAGCCTCCAAGTGTCAGATCGGACGTTTGTGGTTGGCTTCTATTGGGGAGTGTCTATATCATTGATCCCTGCAGCTTCCAGAGATAACTCAGCACTCACTTAATGGTGCTCCCTGAGCACTCACTAAATAGATCAATAAAGCGTGGTGATTAAAAGCACGGACTTTAGAGCCAGACAGCCCTGGGTTCAAAGCCCAGCTCTGCCACCGGATAGCTATGGGGTCCAGGACAACAATCTGTCAGCCCTAGTGTCCTCCCCTGTAAGTCTGGAACTACTGTGTAGTACTTTGTGCATTGATGAGGTCTAAATGAGACCATGCACTTACAGGAATGAATACAGTATTTGGCACAAAATACACATTCGATAATTAGCAGTCATTAGTTTTAGGTGCTAGAAACCTGGCGATGAGTCAGACAGAGCTGCCGTTCTCAGAGAATTTAGAATCTTGAAGAGGAAATAGACAGACACCCAAAACAACTATGATACACAAAATGATAAATGCCTTAAAAAGCTACAAGCAAGGTGATACAGAAAGAATCTGAGACAGAGTCATCAATTTTAACTCTGGGGGTGAAGAAGCAGGTGTCAAGAAAAGCTTCACAAAAGCAATAGTCTCTAATTAGGGCTTGAAGGATCAGAAGGATTTGGACAAGGGCCAGCAGGGATGGAGGTCATGCCCTTCCAGGGATGCAGAAACAGCACGGTGTGGAGACAGGAAGGCCTGTGAATGTCCTATGTTGAGGGAACTCAAGGTGTCTGGCAGAGAGTGATGGGGAGAATGTTTTAGAAAGCTAAATGTTTTCTATCTATGTAGAGTTGACGCTTGACACTAAGCTCCAAACAAGAGTTCCAGGGGTCCAAAGGTCTGGATGGGAGTCGGAATTCCCAAGCCAGTTCTTGGAAAACTGCTATGCAGAACCCCTTTCAGGATCGCAGGGAGCTAAGGGTTTATTAGAGCAGGCAAGTGGTTTTCCAAGTCCTTGGACATATTTGATGGCAACCAACCAGGCCCAAGTGGTCCCCACTCCTCCCTGGGTCTTGGTGTGTGTTGAACTCACGAGTGCATGAGCATACAGTCCAGCATTGCCGCCTGCATGTACAGCACTTTACAGTTTACAAAGTTGTTCCCATACCTTGCTTGTGAAGTTGGTAGGCAATAGCTCCTTCTCAGAGAGTGTCAGAGATTAGATCAGGGTGATTGGGTTAAGTATAGTCCCAGCTGAGGCCAGAACTTACTTCTATGGACTGATGGTTTGGTAGAAGGAACACAGACAGAGTAAAAAGGCTGGGTGCTAGTCCTGGCTCAGACCCACTGGCTCTGCATCCGTGAGCTGTCCCTTCCTTTCTCTGGGCCTGTTTCCTCATCCATACAGTGAGAGGCCTGAATTAAGATCTAGTCACTAGATGACCCCAGTTCCCTTCCAGCTCAGACTAGCTATGACTCTAGCAGCATGAGCCGTCTTTTCAAGGCACCAGACCACCTCCCAGAACTTGGTTGAAAATAAATGTAATTAACAGAATAAAATACCATGTCCACAGAACTGCCTTTTATCTCCCTTTTAAAATATATTTTTTAAAAAAGGAAGCGAGATAATGACCAAAAGGAGGGGGAAGTAATTCCCCCTTCAACTAACACATGGGGAAAAAATAAAGCATCTTCAAAGAGAATTCTTCAACGAGAGGCAGGTACAAAGCCAAGCTGCCTAGTCCCAGGGAGAAGGAGGCTGGCTGTGTTTTGAGGCAGCCATCGCATGGCAGTGCCCTCCTGGGACTCGGCCATCCTCTTGTCCGGCAGGTGACCTTATTAGACAGGTCTCATTGGACCTCCCAGACTCTTCCACTCTGTGAAGGCACCAGTGATTGGGTTCTAGACAAAGCCCATAGCCAGATAAATCCAAAAGGGCTCTTTGTTTGGTTTGAGTTTTGATTTATTTGTTTAGCAAAATGTCAGACCAATTAAAGTGAGG